CCGTGTGTAGGGTAACTACACGTGGCTCTCCAGTGTGTAGAGTGACTCTTGATGGACTGTATACGAGACAATGTCTGCCGGTATATGTTAAAGTTGGGTGCATTCTCGTTGACGGGAGCGTTTTTGCTGAAAACAGCGGACTTGAACTGACTGAATGCGCGATTCTTGTTGCTCCAAGACTCGACAAGAGTCCATGCATTCCCTGGCTCTGTCTTCATATCACAATAGACAGGAAAGCTGTTACYAGCGTTATCGTAGATCTTGTAAACACCGCATTTGGAAACACCTTTTCTCAGGTAGTCAAGGCAAGATTTTGGCAGTGGATGTTGGTGATGGGCGTCTTTAGGTTTGGGGCATGAATCACCCTTGAAAAAAAAATCATAATCATTAGCAGAGCTAAAATGTCCACCGAGGTTTAAGATTATACTTTGAAGTTTCTCTTTTGTTTTGCTTGCCAAAGCCACGACAAATGGTTGGCCAATCCTTACAACACAAGCTGCATGGAATGACCAAGATGAGTGCTTTTACCAATGCGAGATACTTAAAAACAAGGCTAATATCTGTTGCACATCTTTAATTCGCAATCAAGGGTAAAATTGTGAAGATGAAATTGAAAAGTCAACTCAGTGAAAGCTAACTTTGGCTTCTGGTTTACTTACTTGACATCGAACGAACAGTTTTTTGCCTTCCTTTTTCGGTCTTGCGGATGAAACCGAAGTCTGAAAAAAACTTCGTGTAAGAAAAGCGTATCTAATTCACTAATTTTTGACTAAAATAATAGAATTATCAGCTTACCAAAGTGACCATTACCAAAACAAGCACGCTTAAAAAAATCTTCATGTTGGAAAAGAGAAGAAGTGGAACAATTATCCACAAATCACTGGATTCCGCTCCTTGAAGCACAAGAAAGCAAACTGAAATGAGTCCTGTTAAGTCCTGTTGAACGCTTTTATCAGTTTTCAAACGAATAAAAGCGATACAAGTTTGACATCAAGGAAAAATATCTTGATAGATTTGTCAGAGCGAATGAAGTCATTAAGTGATGTTTGCTTTTCGCTTGGTATTTTCGACCATAAACGTGAAAAATTAACGTGATTAACTTGTTGTATAAACGACAGCAGCAAACATGGTGGATTGACTGTTTGTTCTTAAAAAGTAGATAGTTTAACGTTTCCTAGCCTGAATTGAAAACGAATCGGTTTTTGCATCTCATTAGTTCGTTCAAAACGCATCCCACATGGAAAGGAGTAATCAAGCGTGGTAAGCCATCAGCGATACAAGCGACATACTGGGTCTGCTGGTCATAGCAAGGGGTTAATCATTTATGGYCTAGGGGCCGACTAACCTCTCCCTTAGGCGTCGGCCGAGCTTCCTGATCAGTTTGTAAATCCAGGGATAGCGGTGTCGGGGCCGAAATCTCCGGCGTAGCCGTAAATGCTTCGCGCTGCCATACTGCGCTTCAGCTCTAGGTCTGGAGGTATGGTCCTAAATTCCCCAATTAATGAAAATAAGAATAAACTCAACTGTTGAGATTTGCAGGCACCTCAAACATGTAAAACGTCATTGCTCTTTTTGACAGTATTTCGGCCGTGAATGAACTAAAATAAACGTCAGGAAGTAATCGAGGATTTCCAACCACTATCGAGACTTTTTGAGATAAATTCAAATACTATTCAAAATTGATAAAGAAGGAAAACAGCCAGCGAAAGTGCGTTTCGAAAATATCGTTTGTTTTAAAAGATTGCAAAAAAGTGAATATAAATTCCATAGGGATTTCTAGGCTTTTTTAGCCAAAAACACATTCGATTTTTTAGATTTAATCGCAGTGTTATTACAGTCAAACTTGCCATGGCAGAACTTGCCAATTGAGTGACATTCACTCAATTAAAGTTAAAGAATAGTTCCTTCTGGTTATAAGTAAAAACTCATTTGACATGTGTTTTACAAATCTTTTTTGCGGTTTTAGTTCCTTTTTAATCAGGAATCATCAGCAATTTTAATATTTTCCTATATCTTTCGACTATATAACACTGAGCTAAAACTGCCATTGGAACTCTACCAATACTATACATTATACTGCAAAGACCTTATTCAGTCTCCTTCTTGAAAAAATATGACTTCTGCCATTTCTGAAAATTTTATTTCGTCGAGCATGCGCAGTAAGAAATATTGGCTCTGGGTAACGAGATTGCTTTACGTTATACAGCAAAGACGTTACTTCTCCTTCTCGAAAAATAAGACAGAAGTATGTCACGCTACGGTCACTGACCACATCTATGGACCTGGCCAATGAAATCCACTCAGCGCTAGGCTACTGTCACGCGATGGTACTTTTGTATCGTACTTGTGTCACGGGCAATAAAATCTACTGATCGTGAAATGTTCTCGAGACGAACTATAAATATGTATAAAGGCGACAATAAGTTTGCTGGTCAAGTCGGACGTGCTAATACCTCCGCTGACCAGCAAGGTCTGTTATCTTCGGTTTGCTTGTACGAGATGCGGAAATCTTGATACTACTTGCTCCTGGAAAGAAAATACGAAGTTTCTATAACAAGGCAGTATATTTAGTCACGTCCTAACCTCTCCGCTTGGGGCCTTGGGAATCAATGGTTGTGTAGCAGTAGTGCAATCGCCTCTGGGGTCTTAGATTTGATTTCTTGACTCATTGTCACAAGTGAGAAGAGTACGGTCTTTCCACTGATTTCGGGGTTTTTCTCCGGGTTTCCCCGTTTTCCTTCCCCCCTCAATAGCAACACGATAAATTCCAATTCGATTGGTGAGTTAGCCTTGCCCAGATTTAAATCAGCCCAGGGATTGTTTCGGGATTTGTTATTCTATACGTTATTATGTAGATCAGGATACCTTGATAGGAGATGTCGATCGATAGGTATAGGTTGGTTTGTTTCCTTGGGACTAGATAAGAAAAATCAATGCAAAATAACTTAAATGAATACAAATCACTGGTTTGTTAGGACATTTTTTGCATAAATGCAATTGCTCTATTTCACTAACCGTCAATGCATGTCTAGTGGTGCTGAATGTTAGAGTGCTTATCCTAGGAGTGGGAAACGTACGGTACTGACTTACTGCGCGTACAAGGTACGACATGCCATAACATTGAAATGGCTTTCCATAATAATGGTTATCGTATGAGTGGGAAACGTACGGTACTGACCTACTGCGCGTACAAGGTACGACATGCCGTAACATTGAAATGGCTTTCCATAAGAATGGTTATCGTATGAGTGGGAAACGCACGGTACTGACTTATAGCACGTACACGGTACGAAATGCATGCCGCAACACTGGAATGGCTTCTCATTGTCTTCCAGTAATTCATCCAATCACAGCGTGTAGCTACAGTTACGGTAAAACAAAATGATAAAAAAAAAGGAACGGTAAGAGTACAGCTCGCAATTTGCCGTATCGTTTCCCACTCATACAAAAACCGCTATGTGCTTACTTACTTTTGCTTGTGCGGCGTTTGCTTGGTTTGTTATCCATGTTGACTGATGCGCAACAGCCGGTGTTTTGAGCCTCTCTGGTGATTCAATCTGTGACAGACAGAACAAAATGCCATATAAGATATAAAACAATAGAATCATTAAGAGACAAATGACTGACTAATAGTTGGAAGGTGTTAACCCTGACTGACTGACCGACTGACCGACCGACTGACTGACCCACTGACTGACCGACT